CTTCCCCACCCTCCTCATGACCAAGAGCTGGATGCTGCTGTTCAGGAGGGCTGTGTCTAAGCACCATTGCGGCTCCCGTTGAGCTGTTGTTTGCAGAAATCAGATGTGCCTTTCTTGTACAAGTGTCAGTGTACGTGGGCCACCAAGAAACAAAGATCTGGGGAGTTAGCTCTACATGGTGTTAGTAAGCCCACTAGTATAGTATTTGTTGGGGTCCCCGTGTTGTGAACCAGGCTGGGCACCCAGTACAGAAAGAACTTGGTCCTGCATGTGGTAGACAAGCCATTCACTATAACTTTGCTTACTGTAACAGGGAAAGCTGGACTCTGTAACACTGTTTCCTCTCTCTCTTTCTCGTTTATCCCTTTTTCCCCATCTCCAACTCCTCTCACCTTCCCCCCTTACCTCAGAAGACCTCACGTCACTCTGGAGGTAGCTCCTTCATTGCTGGAAGAAGGAGTCGATCCACATCCCCTGCTCAAGAGAAGCATGTATCCCACCATGAAAGGCCAAAGAAGGTAAGATCTGCACAGAGTTTGTCAATCCTCAGAGGCTCAGTCATGTGGGATGGAGGGGAGAAAGGGAAGAGTGTGTAGAGAGCCCTGATTCCTCAGAATGAGTTTCGCTGTCAAAGGTCTGAGTTGTAGCTGTGTTTTTCAACAGGCCTCTAGAAACGTGTGTGCACATAGAGCAGCACAGCCATGGGGAACGTGAGGCCAAGTTTCCACGTTCAGATTATGCCAGAGGGGTCCTGGCAGAACATGCCTGTGGAACGTGCAACTTTCCCCTTTCTGTCTTTATGGCAGGTCCACTGTGAGACTTGAGTGTTTTCCAGCCACTGAACTGACCTGTGTGGAAGCAGTTTGGGCTGTGATTTCAAATGCAGCAGCTTGAGAACATAAACTGGAGGTCGTTGTTCTCAGATCTCAGAATCCAAGTTTTAAAGGGCAAAAAGATAGTGATTGGTAATCTGCATTGTGGCCAGCAGGTTAATTGTAGGCAAGAACAATTAGCATGAACTAGGTAGGACTTTGTTAACTTGGATTAAGCAACCACAGGGATTCCACCTGCTTCAAGTGAAAATAGTTTATCTTCATTAAACAACTATTTAGAAGAACTTTGTGTAGCAGATCTGGCTGGTGCAATAGTTACTGATCCAGCCCTGCTGCTTAAGACCTACTCATCCAAACTGCTGCAGTGTTCCAGGACATGTTAACAGCACACCAAGGTTCATCATTAACCAACTGGCTCACGTGACAAATGCTCCTATTACAAGGAAAAGCAGCAGGGAACGTGGAAGGCAGAATCCAAGGAGTCTGCTGGGCTCTGACAGGGGTGCAGGTTTCAGTGTGGAAGGGGCTGTACCAAAAGCAATGAGGAGGTTTGTGAGGCCCCTCTTGTTTATAATAATGAATAGCCCTAAAAGGCAGGACATATGTTTTTTGGAGGATTCAGGTTCTAAAGCAAGAGGCAGCAGAATAAGAAGTCTTAATCCACAGTATAGTACTGCCACCCTCCTTTGCCACCCCATCTATCCAAAGGATTGGGGTAGGATCTGATGCAGAAATAACTTATACAGGGATGCTGTCAGTGTGGACAGGTAGTTTTTAATACCTTAGGGGCCACATCCTGGCTTTTGTTAGCAGAAATCCCAAATTCCTCTATCAAGCAACCTGTGGATATATTCCACTATAGTCAAAAGCCAAACTGACCTTGTTGTATAAGCATAATTGATGATACCCCTGTAAATGGCAGCATGAAGCTTTTAAGCCTTGCTGTATGTGTCTGGCTGTTCACTTCTTCTTTATGTGTTTTTGCCTTGTGGCAGTAGGCATCCTCAGAACGTGGAAGTGATTTGGAATGGTTAATGGTAGTGGCCCACATCCAGAAACAGCCCAATGACACTCCGGTGGCTTATGTGGCCTAAGTCAGATGGATCTCAGCCCAGTCTCCAGAGGTCAAGGGCATCCAGGCTTTCAAAAGCAGTGTGGCTACCAGTTAATACTGACTGACACCCCCTGGCATGCCCAGCTGAGAGGCCATAAATCCTCTGGGCAGGAAAGACATCTCCCTCTTTATTTACAGAGGTTATCCCGCAATATCCAGTTTGAAACACTGCCCACCATGTCCATGACGTGTTTGGGAAGCTTGCCCAAACCATACCTGATACATGGGCAAACAAGGCAGAAACCTCACTCACAAAGTGGTGCCTCCTCTGCTGCCCACACCGAGCCAGTAAATTTCCTGCTGCTGACAAGGCGAAAGCCTACGGGGAGTATTTACTCCTCTTGTGTGTTCAGCTGCTGCGAGCAGAGGAGGAGGAGGAGGGAGGGAGAAAGAGCATCTGTGCCACGGCCGGGGAGCGGGCGCTTGGCACAAGGTGATGGGCTGTACTGGAACGTGCTATTTTTAGCCAACAAGCAGGCAGAGAGGGTGGGAGAGAGGGCAGGATCAGGGTGATTGATGGCAGCTTTGGAGAGCTTGGCTGTAATTATAACTGACAGACTGTGCAAGTCAAGGCTGGGGACCCTGTGAGGGTTTCTCTACTTGTAGGGGTGGGAGCCCAGTCGTGCCTGGCAGGTAGGAGCAGGGGTGTAAATATCCTGCTTCCCAGCTTTGGTTGGAAAGCAGGTCAGCGGCAGGGGGAGAGCGAAAACAGGAGGAATATGGATTTATTTATAGGCTTCTCAGTGGCGCTTGCCACTATTGTTAGCCTCTGGGATCCTCAGGAACGTGCAGAGACTCCGTCTCGCTGCTGCTGCCTCGTCAACTCTCCTCTTCCTGATGGCTCGTTGCGTTTGCAAGCAGCAGATCCGATGGAGGCCCCTTCCAGGGCCAGGGTTGCTTGGCTTTTCCAAGTACAAAATCAAGTCCTTGCACTCAGAGAGGGGGAGTCAGCATGGAAAGGAGGCCAAGGCGTGCGCAGCAGCTGCGATGGGCAGGGTGAGGAAGGCATTCCT